TGACTGCTCTTCCAGAGGTCCTGAGTTCAATTCCCAGCAACCACATGGTGGCTCACAACCATCTGTAATGAGATCTGGTGCCCTCTTCTGACCTGCAGTCATACATGCTATATACATAATAAATAAATAAATCTTTAAAAAAAAAAAAAGGCAGGGGCTATTCGATGGCTTAGCAGTTAAGAACACTAGCTAGAGCCGGGTGGCTGTAGCGCAAGCCTTTAATCTCAGCACTCGGGAGGCAGAGCCAGGCGGATCTCTGTGAGTTAGAGGCCAGCCTGGGTTACAGAACGAGATCCAGGACAAGTACCAAAACAACACAGAGAAATCCTATCTTGAGAAACCAAATTAAAAAAAGAGAACATTAGCTGGTCTCCTAGAGGCTCCGGGTTCAGTTCCCAGCACCCACATGGTGGCTCAAAACTGTCTGTAACTGCAGTTCCAAGAGATCCAAGACCCTCTTCTGACCTCCTCAGGCACCAGGTACACATCCATACATGCAGGCAAAACACTCATACACACAGAATAAAACGAAACAAGAAATTTACTCTTGGTGTGGTTGCACACACATTTAATCTCAGCACGCGGGAGGCAGAGGCCAGTCTGGTCTATACAGCAAGCTCCAGGCCAGCTAGAGTTGCACAGTGAGACCCTATCTCAGGGGGAAAACAATAAAGTAGAGCATTAAACATCTGTGGGCCCGTGTGATGATTATAGTCCCTTGCAGGCAGGTCCAGGCCAATCCATTCCAGGACAGGTCTTGCCCTTGAAACAGACCTGCTGCTGAGCAAGCCTGCATTTGACACTCCTTCTTGCTTGCTTTTTCCTGTTTTTTAATCAATCAATCAATTAATTAATTAATTAAAAGACAGTCTTGGGTAGCCTACAATGGCCTGAAACTTGGTATGTAGTAGCCTAAGGATGACCACAGACTGCTGGTGATGCTGTCTCTATTTCTTCTTTTTTGGGGGTGGTTTTCGAGACAGGGTCTATCCGTATAGTTTTGGAGCCTGTCCTGGAACTTACTCTGTAGACCAGGCTGGCCCAGAACTCACAGACATCCACCTGCCTCTGCTTCCGAGTGCTGGGATTAAAAGTGTGAGCCACCACCGCCCAGCTTGTCTTTACTTCTTAAGTATTAGGATTACAGGTGTATATGACTACACTCAGCTTCCACATTTTTAAGAGTCATGGAATGCTATTAAGCCCTGATCAGGTAAGTGCCATGTTAGAATACATATATATGTAATAAAATTTTGTGGTTTTTGGATACAGAGTCTTCCTTTGTAGGGTAAGCTGGTCTTGGTGTTGAATTCATGATTATTTTGTTTCCTTCTTCCAAGGGATGGGATGGGGTTACAGGGATACACCAACATTTTCAGAAAACCACTAACTGCATACAAGGAAAAGGAAAGGACAAAATGTAACCAGGGAGCCCAATTCAGAGGAATTTCAGTACACAGGAGGGGCAAAGGGGGGCTGACTGGCAAAAGTAGAGATAGAAAAAAATCATTTTATGTAAACACAAACTTTAATGTCCTTCAGATAGACCTAGTAGCTTGTAGCAGCCCTAGGTTTGTTCCCCAGCTCTGTATAAAACAAGGTGAAGGTACAGGTCGGCACCAGGTACAGACAGGAGGATAAGAAGTTCTAGGTCATCCTTGGGCTACCCAGTGCGTTCTAGGCCAGCCTAGGCTACACGATACCCTGTATTTGAAATGCTGCATGAAAACACAAAAAAACCTTCAAAAACTTGAAATCTCCCTAGATTAGCTATATAAAGGCCAATGAGCACATGAAAAATGCCCAGAATCACTAATCATTAGAAACATGCAAGTCAAAACTACAACGGGCACCACCTCTAACCATAAGCATTAGACCAGGATAGAGAGGAAGCAGGAGTACTGTTGGTCAGAATATAAAGCAATCAAGGTGTTATGGGAAACACTATACTAGTTCTTAAAAACGATGGACATAACATTATCCCCTGAACCAGCAACTCCACTCCTAGAGGTAGACCAACAAGCTGTTTTTCATGAAAGTGACCTTTGCACAACTGACTCCATGATGTAATTACTGTTGAGGCTGTAAAACACAGCATGCAGACAATATTCAAAGGCCTAATCCATCAAAGTCCATAGCCCTGGGAAAGTCTCCTTAAAAATACTAACTAGTCTGTAGTTCTGCTTCAGCTAACTGTTCTTGCTAACTGATGAAGTATGTCAACCCAGGACATGGTTTTGTGCTTACAAGCTTACCCTAAAGAAGGCTCAGTGCCACACTGGGATCCCAAACACCCAGGGTAGTCACAAACCAGCTCATAAGACGGTCTACTGGCTTAAACCCATGTCTAAGCAGTCTTCTCCGGTGACTGCCCCACAACCAAAGAGATTTCTGCACTCCCATGTCCAGAGCTGCGTTATTCATAGTAACCAAAAGAAGCCAGTGGCCACTGACAGACAAATGTCTACACATATGTAATATGCACATAAAATGGAAGATTCATATTTAACAGGAAGAAATTTTGACATGTTGTAACATAGATGAACACTGAGGACATTATGCTAAGGGAAATAGGCTATTTGCAGAGATAACCTACTACATGATTCCAATCGTGAGATACCCATAGTAACCAAATTCAAAGAAAGAAGAGGAGTTGACCGGCTGGGTTTAGGACAGTGGAGGGCTGTTTAATGGGTATAAATGGGTTTGCGTATGTAACAAGATACATTAAACAACAAGAAAAAGCATACACTTAAAAATGGTTAAATGATACATTTTATGTATATTTTACCACAATTGAAACAAACTGAAAAAAAGATAATAGCAGTTATACTCAGGCCTCTAGCTTGTGTGATGACTAGTTTTCCTTGTTAACTTGATTTTGCTAGAATCAACTAAAACCCAAGAAGCTGGGCATGCCTGGTAAGGGTTTTGTCTGGCCTATTTGAGGGGAGACAACCTACCCTAAGTCTGGCCACACCTTTGGTGGTAGTCCACAGAAAAGGACGCGGAGGAAGGAGGCGTCTACTAGTCACCCGCTCGCCCTTACTCCTGCCGCCATCTGCCCTGCTGCCGAAGCGCTCTCTCATCGGTACAGAACCAGCTTCTTCGGGATTCCAACCTAGTGTGGACTAAACCTTACCATACACAGTCTTGCCTTTTCTGCCAACAGACAGCCATTGTGGGATTAGCCACCCCAGCCTACAAGGCAGTCTACTACATATCCTTTACATACATACATATTTCATTCTCTCAGTTCTGTTCCTTAGAGAACCCCGACTGATAGAGTGTGCAAGTGAGAGAACCTCACTTGGATAGCTTAGGCAAAGGATGAGAGCTTCCAGGTTCACTGGCTCACAGAATCTCAGGAAGGCTGGACGAACCAGAGGGGATATGGCGTTTCAGCAGCACGGCAACCAGGAGCTTGGGGGCTTCCATGACTCTCACGGTTTCTCACCTCTGCTGCCTTTGGCATGTCGGCTTCCTTTTCACAGCAGACCAGCTGGCTCCATACGGCAGGACACATGGCTGCTGAATGCTCCTGTGATTTACATTTTATGGCTTCCACACTGAAGAGGGATTTTTCTCTCAATTTCAGTTCAAGAAATTCTGGGTAAGGACTTTGGCCCATCTTGGCCCAGGACCAGTGTGGCAAAGGGTGTAAAGTCATTTAGGAAATACTACGTAATAGAAGTATTTATGGAAACATGAAAAAGAAACAGCATGAGATTTGTAACACAATATCAATTATGTACATTTAAAATACATACATAAAACATTATATATTATGCAAGGATACATGTATATTTAAAGACATATATTAAGCACGTTAAAACCACTAAAGAAGGAGTGATGAAGGATGACTGGGAACTGAAATGAGCAAGAAAGAGAAAATGAGAAAGGCCTTGTTAATGACAGTGTGAACAAAATAGTATGATTACCTCAATTCTCTGCTTCTGATGGGAAGTGGCAGTGTAAGAGGGAACGGTGGAGGGAAAAACAAAACCAAGCTTCCGAGTAGGCGCGAAAGAAAGGCAGTTTTCAGAAGAAAAAGGGAGCGAGCTGGAGAGATGGCTGAGCTGGTAAGGGCACTTGCTGCCAAGGCTGACAACCTGAGTTCCATTCCTGGGACCCACATGGTGGACTGACTCCTGCAGGTTATCCTCTGACTCCCACATGTGAGCTCACACGATAAATACTGTAATTAAACTTCTGCTGAGATGGTGGTCTCTCTATGTAGCCCTGGCTTCCTCCAACTCATATAACCCAGGCCAGTCTGGAATCCAGAGATTTGCCTGTCTCTGTATCCCAAGTGCCATGACCGAAGGTGTGCACAGCCATGCCCAGCTCCCTCCTTTCTCTTTCTCTTCTCTCTCTCTCTCTCTCCCTCTCCCTCTCCCTCTCTCTCTCTCTCTCTGTGTGTGTGTGTGTGTGTAGGTGCCTGCAGAGGACAGAACGTCCTACCCATTAGGAACTGGACCTATGGGCAGTTGTGTGACATCTTACATGAGTGCTGGGAACTGAGCTTAAGTCCTCGGAAAAGCAAAAGTGCTCTTAACCACTGCGCCATCTCTCCAGCCCATAATTACTTTTTTTGTTTGTTTGTTTCTTTACTGGCTTTTGGGACCCTATACTGGGTAGCCTTGCCCAGCCTTAATACAAGGCAAGGTGCTTAGTCTTACTGCAAACATGATATGCCTTGTTTTGTGAGGATCCATGGGAAGCCTACCCTTTTCTCAACGGAAACAGAGGAGGAACAGATGGGGAAGGGGAGACAGGAGGCAGGTGGGGGGAGGGGCTTGGAGGCGAGGAGGGAGGAGAAACTGTGGTCAGGACATAAAATAAATAAATAAACAAACAAATAAATACACATTATTTCTTTTTGTCCATGGGTGTTCATGCGTAAAGGTGTATTCATGTGCATGTGAGTGTGAGTGAACCCTGGGCGAGGGTGTCATCTCTCAGGAGTTATTCACTTTGGCTATATGTTTTTGTTTTTGTTTTTTTAAGATTATTTGTTTATTTTATTTGGATGAGTACTCTATCTGCATGTATGACTTTATTACATAAGAGGACATCAGATCCCACTACAGGTGGTTTTGAGCCATCGTGTGGTTACTGGGAATTGAACTCACGACCTCTAGAAGAGCAACCAGTGCTCATAACTGCTGCTCCATCTCTCCAGGCCACTATAGTTTATTTTTTTACAATAGTTTTTCACTGGGAACTGAGGCTTACTGATTAAACCTAGCTGGCCAGTGAGCCTCAGAGATTCAGCTGTCTATATCTCCACAGAACTTTCATTACAAACTCATGATATCACTCCTAGCTTTTTAAGTGGGTGCTGGGGATTGAACTCAGGTTCATATATCTATATTGATTGAGCTATCAATTGTTGAAGAGCAAGCACTTTACTGATTGGGCAATCTCCCTAGCTATTTATTTTAATTAATTAATTAAATGTATTGGGACAGTACCTAGCCTTAAACTAGCTATAGTTGAGGATGACCTTCAATTCCTGATTCTCCTGCCTCAACCTCCCAAGTGCGGTGATTACAGGCATGCACCACTGTGTTTCGTTTATATGGTGTCTGAGATCATGTATGGGAGGCAAGCACTTTATCATCTGAAGTACATCCCCAGTCTTTAAATTTATTTACTTAATGTATATAGGTGTTTTGTCTGTAATCATGTCTGTGCAACAGATGTGTGGCTGGTACTTACAGAGGCCCTGAGAATGCTGGACTTCCTGGGACTGGAGTTACAGACAACTGTGAGCTGCCATGTGAATGACTGGAATGGAACTCTGGTCCTCTGAAGAACAGCCAGTGCTCTTAGAGAGGTGCTGAACCACCTCTCTAGCTCCCATCCCCCAACCTTTAGTTTTGATTTTTTTTTTTTTTAATACTAAAAGCACTAAGGCTCTAAATTTTCTTTTATATTGGCTTAATGCTTTCTCATGAATTCCGTCATGCACTATTTTCTTTCTATCTTCCTTGGTTTCTCTGTGTAGCCCTGGCAGTCCTGGGATTCGCTCTATAGATCAGGATGGCCTTGAACTCTTGAGTGCTGGGTGCGACTACCACCTGCTTTCTTTCTCTCTCTTTTATGTTTTTGAGGTGCTGGGATTTAACTTATGGCTTGACACATGCTAGATGAGCACTCTACCACTGAGCTATAGTCCCAGCCTGTTTTTCATCATCTTAATTTGTAAAGAACTCATGAACTTTATATAGAAAACAAAAACAACCCCAAAGGTCTTAGACATAGTTTCCTTTTAAAAATTATACTCATTAATACATATGGTGTCTCATATGGTCAGCCCTGGCTGACCTCATTATTTGTTATGTAGATCAGGCTGGACTTGAACTCATGGAGATCTGCCTACTTTCCCCCCCTGAGTGCTGGGATTATAAGTGTGTGTCACCATATTTGGCTCTTACTAATTTATTTTTATCAATTTATTTTAAAATACTTTTTTTATTTTCATTTTATGTGTATGAGTGTTTTGCCTGCAGGTATGTATACATGCTACATGTGTTCCTGATGTCCATGGAGGACAGAAGAACTGGAGTTACCATGTGGGTGCTGGGACCCAAACCTAGGTCCTCTGTAAGAGCAGTAAGTGCTCTGAAACTGCTGAACTCCAGTCCCTAATTAATTTAATTTTTTCACCTATTTTTATATTGTGTGTATGGACTTTTTGCCTGCATGTGTGTTTGTGTACCATGTGTATGATACGTGTATGACAGTTGTGAGCTGCCCTGTGGGTGCTGGGAATTGAACCCAGGTCCTCTGGAAAAGCAGCCAGTGCTCTTCACCGCTGAGTCTTCTTTCTGGCCTCTTGCTCTGGTTCTCTGGCTGGACTTGGGACCGGGTGTCAGCAATGCTTCCGCAGTCACCAGTTTTCAACAATGCACACCACGCCACACGCACACTACAATACCTGGCCTATTTACTTCTTAAAAATTAAAAGTAGTTAGAATTCTTTGCTTAATCTGTAGTTATTAGCTTCTGGTTTATGTAACTTGTACAATTTTAACTGTGTGGGTGTATGCATGAGTGCGCATGTGGAGACCAAAGGCTGAAGCTGGTGTCCTCCTCTATTGCTCTCTATTTTTTAATTTTCAACTTTTATTAATTTATCTTGAATGTTTATCTGTGTGGGTGCAAGTATGCCACAGCACATATATGTATGGGGCCAGGGGACAACACGGGGGAGCTGGTTTACTTCTACCGTGTAGGTTTGGGGGATCCAATTCACCAGGCTTGGTGGCAAAGCACCTTTACATGCTGAGTCAGTTTGCTATTTAAAATTTAAAAAAATGTTTATTTATCTATTTATGTGTATATGTGTTCTCTCCTTCTATTATGTAGGTTTGGGAATTGAAACCAGATGGTCAGGCTCAGAGACAAAGGCCATTTTGCCAGCATCCATTTCATTTTGTTGAGGCAAGGTCTCTCACTGGACCCGGAGCTTGCCATGGACTTGCTAGCCAGCAGGCCTCCGAGATGCACTGTCTCTCCCTGCCAGCACTGGGGTCAAAGGTATGCTCCCCCATGCCTGGCTTTCACGTGGGTTCTCAGGAGCTGAACTCAGGGCCTCATGACTGCTCAGCATTTATCCACTGAGGCATCTCCCCAGCCTCCAATTTTAATTTCTAAAAACCGAATTCCATCATCTTCCGTGATCTAAATCTGCTTTACTGTTTTTGTATTACCTACATATTATGTGACCAAATCCCTATTTTAAGAATTTAAAACATTACAGATACACAGAGAGTTTTCCACTGTCTACTGTCAGGGCACCTGTTTTCTACTTTTGAGTTTGGCATATATTCCACCTTTTAAAATTAATTTTTATGTGCGCTGGTGTTTTTGCCCACATGTATGTCTGTGTGAGGGTGCCAGATCCCCTGGAACTGGAATTACAGACAGCTGTGAGCTGCCATGTGGGTGTTGGGAATTGAACCTGGGTCCTTGGGAAGAGCAGCCAGTGTTGTTAACCACTGAGCCATCTCTCCAGCCCTATTCCAGTTTTTGGAATATAGAAATTTATATAAGCATAAAATTGTTTTTGCTACACATAGAACTATAACATATATTGTTCTGTAATAGCTTCTTTCTCTTTCTCTCTCTCTCTCTCTCTCTCTCTCTCTCTCTCTCTCTCTCCAGATTCCTAATCTGTAGCTCAAGCTGGCTGGCTTCGAGCTCACAGAGAACTGCCTGCCTCTACCCTGCCTCACTAGAGCTGGAACTACAGGTACGCATGTACCAGGCCCAGCCTTTTTTCAAATTATTGTATTTTGAGCCACGGTCTTCCTAAGTTGCTGGCTTTGAGGATGGAATTCTCTTGCCTTGGTGTCCTGAGTAGCTGGGATTACAGTCATTTACCACCAAGCTGGGAGTCTTTTTCATTATTTTACTTGATACTTCATGAGTCCTTTAAATATGAAAATTCAAAATTTAGTAGCTGTTCAGCCAGGTGGTTTTTTCAGCCAGCACATACCTTGAATTCTAGCACTCTGGAAGCAGAGGCAAGCAGATCTTTCTGAGTTCAAGGCCAGCCTGGTGTACAAAGTGAGTGCCAGGACAGCCAGGGCTACAGAGAAACCTTGTCTCAAAAAACTAAAAAAAAAAGAGTGAGTTCTAGGACAGTAAAAGCTATACAGAGAAATCCTGTCTTGAAAAACCAAAAAAAAAAAAAAAAAAAAAAAATTTTCTTTAACCTGACTGTTGTTGACTCTTCCTCAGCCAGC